GACTGGCGTTAGGCCCGCATCGCCGCCGTTGACTCGCGGCCGCACGGCCCGCTGCTGTGGCCGCCCTGGCGCTTGGCAACCCCCTCGGGGCCGCCCATGCGCCCCTCTCCCTCGGGGGCGGGGAGGGTGGGGGGCGCCCCGAGCTAATTTTAACCGGCTTGTGTTACCTCCCCGCGCGCCCCCGCCCCGCCCGTGCGCGACCCTGTTTCGCACCCACACATGAGGCATTTCCGCACACTTCTAAAATCTTCTTCTGGTGACTCTTCCCCATCACCAGCTGTCCGCCCGTGGTTCTCTTCCTCTTGTTTCTTTTATCACGATCCTCTTCTTTTCCTCTTCTCAGCATCCTCTCACAAATTGAGCCTTATCGACTCGGTCACAAGGACAGAGCTTCGCTCCCTCTAATCGCCGGTCGAGCCGATTTGCTCGCTTGGCTGCTGACACCTCATTTCACCTCCACTCGAACGGTAGCAAAAGTAGTAGTAGCAGTAGCAGTGTCCACGTCAACCCCAAAGGCGGACCTGTTCCTGCCGAAACGCTCGCCGACCAGGTATTTACAAAAAGAAGAGGGAGCCCCGAGCCCAAGCCTTCGCGACGAGAAGGCATCATCAGGTCAAAGACACGTTCCAGCGCGGATGGCCGAACTCGCACAAAAATAACATCCGATAAAAAAGAAACACGAGTGGGACAGGGGTTGGAGGGGGGGGGGGGTCCGCGATCACCGTGCTCCTGCCAGCTCCTAGTGTCATGAAGTCATTAGCGCAAGGACGAGTTTGTGTCGAGTACCGATATTGATGAGCCTCCTAGCAGGAGGACGACGACGTCAGAGGGGACGGCAAGTCCAGCACGGCGCATGGAGAAACGTCCGGACCAACCAGATGAGAATGTGGCGCCAGCACAAGCTCCCACTCGCCACCCAACAACAATAACAACGCCGTGCTCGACGACGAGCTGGAGGGTGACGGGGCGGTCGAGGCCAGCGACCGCTTCCAGGGGCGCCGCCGGTATGCGATTGGCAGCTGATAGTGCGCCGAGATAACGATTCGTCAGCTGCATCGCCGCGCGCCCACCCTCTCCTTCCTCCTTTCTCTTTCTCTCGCCGCAGCTCCCGTAAAGTTTGCTCTCGCTCTGTGTGTGTGTGTCTCTCTCTCTCTCAGTCGTGGACAAAATCTTTGGGTGCTGCTGTCTGCTCCAGGGCACCGCTTGTTCCCAGAAGAACCGCATCAAGTAAATGGGGCGAACCGACGCTGTCGCTGGAATGCAAAACAACGCGCTTGTGTGGATGGAGGGGGGGGGGTGAGTCACAACGGCGACACATCACAACTCTATTTACCGATGATAGGAGGCGAGGGAGGGGATGGGGAAAGGGGCCCGGGAGGCCGATATATTCCCCGCTCAACCACGCGGCCTGAGGTGGTACGCGTGGCTCTCATAATCGCTCGGAAGCTATTGCGCGGTCTCGCTGAGGGAGGAGGGAGGGGGGTAAGAATGTGGCCCGGGCGGCAACCCCTTATGGCGGAGCAGCAGAAGGCCCCCGCGTGCGGGATTACGTCTGTACGCCCCGCCCCGCCCCGCCACACCGCGCATGAGGCGTACCCCAAAAGCGGCCAGCCGCCCGTCCCGTCCGGCCAGACGGGGGCGTGTTTGTAAACATTCCGCTCTGTTCGCGAGCCTCGCCTCGGCGGGGACCGCCGCCTGCTGTGCAGTGCACCCCATGCTCGCGATTGGCCTTGCCGAATCAGCGCGCGGATTCCATACGGCGTCGCGGTTTCGACGTCGTTCGTCTGCCACTCCCCTCTCACTATCTCTCTCGCTCTTCGCGTCTCTTTCGAACGTTCTCTCTCACTCCGACTTTGTCTCTCTGTTTCGAGGGTGTCGCTCTTTTGCGCCGCATGTCACCGTTCTCCGCACGTGACGGGTCTGATGTGTGGTACTCACGTTCTGCAGGGCCTTCTCCTTCTCCTCCAGCTTGGCCGACACCTGTGTGAGCTGCTCCTGGGTCTGGTCAAGGTCGTTCTCAATGGCCTGGATCTTCTTCTGGAGATTGCGCGCATCCTCCTCAGCCTGGTGGATGGAACAGGAACGGGGGGTAAAATGGGGAAAGCAGCGCAGGGATTGCATGGGGTGGTGACCACCCGGTGGTCAGCCCTGCCTCCACCCCCGGGTCACACCCCGCGTTCAGCTCTCCCCCTCCGCGGGGGTGCAAGGGTGGTGGGAGCTGCACCCTCACTCACGCCCCACTACTTTACCTTCTCGGCGCGGAGGTTGGCGTCGCGGGCCTGCTGCTCGCACAGCATGGCGCGGTCGGACGCGTTGTCCTTCTCCGTCTTCATCGCTTGCATCTTCTTCTTGATCGCGTCCATTGTGGCGGTGTTGTGGGGGGACTACGCAGGGGAGAAAGAACTGCAACAAGGAATAGAAGAGTGCGTTAGAGACGATTGTGTCTGCGTGAAGTAGCCGGCCCAGGAAGGCGCCGGCGGACGATTTACCGGCCCATGTG